GTACCGGGGCTGGCAGCGGCGCAGGAATCGGGGCGAGGGGGTGGACAGGGCGTTTATTTTTGTGTTTTGAACCTGTTGTTGCTGCTGCGTGTGGTGGGGTGAGTGGGTGGGGAGAGCTGCGGACCCCTCCCTGCGCTGCGCCCCCAAACCCTGCCCTGGGGAAGCGGCTGTGGCCGGGGGGATCCTGGTGGAGCGGATGGACAGACGGACACTGTGGGAGCCCGGCCTCATCCTTTGTGTGCTGCGCTGGGGCCCTGACCGGAGCCGGGAGGGTGGGGGAAGGACGGAGCAGGCAGAGGCCACTAGGGGCTGGTGGCCACCGCCTGTCCTGCTGGTTTTACCCCTCTGGGGACACCAGGAGGGTGCTCGAGGGGCTGGAAGGCAGCGCTGGCCCTGTCTCAGCCAGGCCTGGTGGCTCTGGTGGCCAGCATGGTGAATACCCACTGGGGTTGGCACTGGGGGTTTCTCCAGGCAGTTTTGGGGTGCTCCTCACCCTGGTGGGCACCTCACCCTGGCGGGCACCTCGCCATTGGCGCCGGGCAGTGACACAAGGGGGGCTCAACAGGTCCCTCTCACGGCACATGGTAGCCATGGGGGCAATGGGGAGGGGTGGGCTGGGCTCAGGGTGGGCTCTGGGGCCGGAATGAGCTGGGGGTGTTGTGGGAATTGTGGGGCTGGGGAGGCACAGAGGGCTCCCTGTGCTGCTGGGCCAGGCTTGGGGCAGCTCCAGGGCGCCACAGTCCCTGCAGGAAGGAGCCTCTTTGGGGAGGAAAAGGTGTGTGTGATTTGCCAAAAGGCAGCAGCCAGGGGAAGGGCAGAGCCCAGGGGTGTGCCGTGCCCTGGGGAGGGGCGAGGAGCTGTTGGGGATGGTGCTGGACAGGCTGGGGGCTCCTGGGCTCCACATTCACCCTGCTCTGCACCAACTCTCCCTCCCAAACAACCACAGAGGGGGGCAAAGGGTTTCTCCTTCCAGCACCTGCCAACGTCTCTTTTATTTTGAGTGAAAATCCATGAGTGACCCCAGGTGGGGGGGCACAGCCACGAAGAAAAACAACAGAGCCCCTGGAGGCACTGAGCTGCAGAGCCTGGCTGAGGGGCTGGAGGATGAGGAGGGTCCCAGGGCAGCTGGGGACATGGCAAGGTGCTGGCCTGGCTCTGTGGGCACTGCCGGGGTGGGCACTGCTGGGGTGGGCACTGCTGGGGTGGGCACCGTGCCCTGGCTCCTGCTCTGCCTTGGCACAGCAGGAGGGTCCTGGCTCCCACCACCCACTGGTGCCCAGGGAGCTTTGGCAGAAAGTTTCCAACTCTGGAAAAGGCCCTGCTGGTCCCTCTGGAGCTGCTCCTGTGCCCTCTGCTCCTGCTGCTGTCAGGGCTCGGGAGCAGCTGCAGATTCTGCGCTCACATCTGGCTGCTCTGCTGGTTTGTTTTGCTGCTCTCCCCTTGGCTTTGAGGGTCTCCTTGGAGTGAGGGCTCTCCTGGTCCTGCCTGCCCTGGTTGGAAGGTGGCAGTTGCAGGGGAAAGAGGAAGATTTCTGTTTGGGAAATAACTGAGATTTCTGCCATGAGTCCTTTGGGAAGGGACTCAAGCCCTGGCTCTCTGCTGGCATCCAGGGAGAAGTAAAACCTAGGCCAGACCCTGCTGCCTCCAGAAGGGATCAGCTCTGTCCTGTCCGTGTGTCCAGCTGGGGCAGCACTGTCACCATTCCCAGCTGGAGCAGAGGAGGCCACAAACCCCAAAACAGCACCCCAAAACAGCATCCCACAACAACAGCACCCCACAATAGCAGGGCAGCACCTTGCCATGTCCCCAAAACAGCACCCCAAAACAGCTCCCCACAAAAACACCCCACAATAACACCCCACCACAGCACCCAGCTCTGCCTGGGTCTGGCAGATCATGGATTTCAGAGCTCACAGGGCCTCTCAGCTGGACCTGCCTTGCTGGGAGGAGCTGGGAGGAACTGGAGCAGGTTTCCTGGGAAGCCGCTGCTGTTGGTGTTGCTGCTTCCTGGCTGGAAACAGCCCCTTTCCCCAGGGGGATGGGAGTTCAAGGGGCTGCAGCTGGGCTGGGAGCTGAGCTGGGAGCTGAGCTGGGAGCTGAGATGGGAGCTGAGCTGGGCTTCAAGCAGTGGAGATGCCCCAGGAAAGCTGAGGAGGTGCACAGCCCAGATTCCTGCATCTCCTCAGTGCATCCCGAGACAAGCAGCCCCCAGGCCCCAGACAGGAGCCACTGTCAGGGACAAGGATGAGCCTGGAGCAGGGAAAGGAGCCGGGTGGATCCTGCCCCAGACAGGTTTTTCCTTGGGTTGGGCCCAGACCTTGGGCTTGGCACTGAGCACTGAGCTCCTTGTGAGCCCCCAGGGTGTCATCCCTCATGTCCCTGCTCCTTGTCTGGGTGTCAGGGCTCTGGATCCACCTTCCTGCTGCCTCCTTGGAGCATCATCTGTGCCTGTGCTCATGGCATTGCTGCTCCTGGCACACAGCAACACAGGGATGGCTGTGACAGGGGACAGGTGCCACATCCTGGCCAGTGCCAGCACTGTCACTGCCCCTGGGGGTGGGGAGCAGCCGGCTCCGCTCTCATTCATGAATCCTGGGGGGAGTTTCCTTGCTCCTCTAACTGGAAAGGAGCTGGAAACCCAAGTGTTTGGAGGGCACTTGAACCATTGTTTGAAAGATCTGTAATTTTCCAATCAAACTCCCTTCCCCGAGCCTCCGTTCATCAAATATTCATGGGATCCATTTTCTCCTGGCACTCCCAGCCCACGTCTCAGCCCGGAGAATCAATCAGGCAGCTCGGCTTTGCTCTAATGCATCTGCGTTTTTTTTTTTTTGGGAGCCTGGGGCTGCCATCTCCTCCCCCCTCTGTCCCTGTCCCTGTCCCTGTCCCTTCCCCGAGCAGGGGGATGGCTGAGGCTGTGCAGGCAGATGTGAGGAGTGTGATGGGCATTGGGGTGATGCAGAAACTGTGGGGCAGGCAGGGAGGATGCCATGGATGGATGCAGCAGGACCTGAGCATGGTCCCCACCCTGTGCTGGCCACGCTCATTTCTGCCCATCCCTGCCCATTTCTGCCCATCCCTGCCCCATCCCGCTGTCGATGATGCATTTGCCTTCACGGTCGATGCATGGCAGCCCCAGGGCGGCTGCAGCCCCCTCCCCTTCCCCTCCTTTCCCCTCCCTCTCCTGCCATCGGGGGCGTTCGATCCCGGCCCCGCTGTTCGTGGCTTTGTGACAGAGCTTTGCATCCTCGTCACTCCGTGCTCCTGGCAGGGAAATGGAGCTGGAAATCAGCGCTGATGCCTCGATTGGTGTCTTTGCCACACAGCCCGGGCCTGCTCCATGCAGGGAGCTCTGCTGGGCTCCCCCAGCTCGGGTGGGGAGGGAGGGCAGGGCAGGGGAGCAGCTCCAAGCGGCTCTTCACACATTTGGATGAGCTAATGGGAAAAAACCGGAGGAAGGCAAATAAACATTATTGTTTCATGTCAGGCGGGGAGGAGACAAAAGGTCACGGGCTTCCCTTGTGATGGTGGGAAACGGCAGCATCAGCAGGGCTGGAAAGAGCTGGAGAGCCCGGGGAGAGCCCAGGGAGAGCCCGGGGAGAGCACGGGGTTGTGTGTGTGCT